CAAAAATAAAAATGTATAACTCCAAAAAAATCCTTAAAAATAAAATAGTTATTTTTTGTAGACACTTCTGCGTTAAACCTAAACGGACACTGGTCAGAAGTTATGTTTACATACAAATTTGCCTAACAAAGAAAAAAATTCTTAACGTTTCGGAAAAAAGTTTATCTCTTTCCGTCGTCAAAAAATACAAAGAATAAAGAAAAAAACTATTTAAAATATTTAAATTCAACTATTCGAGAACACTTTACTTTTTTTTTGCAGTGCAGTGGCGAAATACCCATAAAGGATTTTTTTGGAGAGATGAATCCGCCACATAGATATAGACATTTTTTAAAAAAGGAGGAAATTGTACAAAGCGCCTATCTGTTTCCAGTGGCTTTGCAAAATGCCTAGCAAGAATTAGGCATATTAAAGAATTACGATATTTGATGTACATTTCTGCAAAAAGACTGCTTGTTTTCGGTCATTCTGCAAAATGCCTATTGAAGACTAGTCAGATTGCACAAAACATTTTATGCGGGATTGGTATATACTACAACCTAAGTTTATCTAACATATTTTGAACAAATATGTTTCGAAATTACGAACACAATAGGAAATAATGGAACAAAATAGTGTTGATTTTATTAATGTGAGTGTGATCAAGGATGACTATTATCAACGAATAATTTTATTTTATTCTAAAAGAAGAGGAGAGTTTCACAAAGAAGTCCTAAAAAATATATTTTGCTAAAATTTTGAGAACCACTGGAGCTTTTCTCGATTTTCTTTCACTTTTCTCTAAATAACAATAAATTTGCGCTACTTTTGCATCAGAAATTTCTTTAAGAAAACGAATTTTAGAATAAAACAATGAATTTAAGTGCTAAATTGAACACATAATATTTGTTTACTCTATGCATCTGATTTCTAGTTATCCATCTAGTAATTTAGCATAATATATATAATGATTTCCATTGTAATTCTATTATCTGGAAGGTTACATTTTCAAATCTACGATATGCACGTTAAGTCGTTATTGTTCGAGTATACTATATTTACACAAATATACAGCATGGCCTTGGATGGACCGCGTACTATATTTTTTAATATTTGCTATTTTTTCAACGTATATGATTTATAACTTGAGTAGCATTTACATTTTTTGAATCCTTGGTATGGTGGCCTAAGGTAATGCAACAAACAACAATGCTCAACCTTAGTAAGGTGCAAAGACTTGCTTGTTTGAGCATAACAGGGGCGATGAAATCAACGCCCACTGCATCAATGGAGGCGCTTCTGGACCTTCCGCCTCTTCACATAGTGATCCAGGCGGAGGTAAGAAAGGGGCTCGACAACAAAGTGTCTTGTTTCTGGGAAATAGGACAGAAACAGGACACTTAAAGATGGGAGATTCTATCGGAGGATCTCTACTCCAAATGAGATCGGACCAAATGACCCCCCTTTATCACTACCACAAAACATTCGAGGTGAACAAAATGGATCGAGGAATGTGGACAGATATAACATTCCTTCAGGATGGACTAACTCGCTGAAGGAACAGGAGCTGGAGTATTTGGGGAAAGACCAAGGGCAAGCTAATCCTTTTCCTTGGGTTAACACTCAACCGTATTCAAGACAGAAATCTTCGCCATTCTACAATGTGCGAGAGAAAAGAATAGAACAGCTTATTCAGGTAAGCTCATCAATTTATGCTCAGACAGTCAGGCGGCACTTGGGGCGCTTATGAGGCCAAAGGTATCGTCAAAACTTATCTGGGAATGCCTGGGTGAACTGGGAGCTCTGGCACGAAGGAACAGAATTAAATTATTCTGGGTGCCGGGCCACAGCGGCATCCAAGGCAACGAAAAAGCCGATGAGCTAGCTAGGCAGAGATCATCGGCATCCTATCTTGGTCCAGAGTCCGGCTGTAGTACTGGGAATACCCAAATATATGGCCCGTAGTGCACTAAAACTCTGGATCAGGGAAAAGCACAATGTCCATTGGAGAAACAGACAGAGGCACAGGCACAGCAAGGCTTTTATCCAAGGACCTAGCTCTAAAACCGCAAAAGAACTGCTAATGCTTAGCAGGAATAAAGTGCGGATTACAACAGGCCTCTTGACAGGACACATGACTGTCAAGTGTTATCTGAACAATCTCAACCTGTATCTTGATACAGGTTGTGACTTCCTTGGAAGTCTTTGCTGCAGACTCTGCGATCCTGAAACAGCGGAGCACATAACATTGCGACGTTCTGGATCGCAAGCGATACTTTTTATTTGGGAAAACTAGGCTAGAACCGGATGAACTATGCTCCTATCCTATCAAAGACCTGCATAAGCTAGTACAGGGCACAGGAATAGGAGAATGGGTGCAGATATAGAAGAGGGATAAACACAATAGGCCTCACCAGGTCGCAGTGTTTCCGGCAGAGGACGGCCCCTTGTTACGAAAAGAAATACTTATTTCACACACTTATTTCTGAAACACCCTGCATATACACAAATAAAAAAATAAGTTATTTACTTGTATGCATATTAATTGTTTCCAGCATTGTATTAACTTAACGCTAAGATGCGTCGTGTAATAGCGTGTAATAGACTATTAAATAGATATGTATGTCAGATATGTTTGGAAAATTTTTATTCGTTAAAATTTAACCTGGACATAGGAAATTTGAGATAAAATTTTAAAAATCGTGAATAAGTTTCCCATTTTTTAAAATGTTTTTCTCTAAAAATAAAATCTCTGGCTACTGGGATAGGATAATTTTATTTATCATGCTTTAAATTTACGTGAAATTTTCTTTACTAGGGTAGGTCATGCAACACACGGTATATAAGTATGGAATAAAACATGTAAAAATATAAGTTCCGAAAAACATAAATATGAATTATGATTAAATTAGCAATTACTTATACGCTTTATACGCCATAATAATGTATAAGAATTATTGTTAGAGACAATTCTTATAACTAACAATTAATTTTAATTATCATTAATGTCCAATAAACATAAATATTTAATTATGCGCAATGTACCTATATTAATTGTATATATTTCCTAAAAATAAAAATAATAAATGAATTAATATACGCTTATATTGTCTTGGTTACACGAACCACAAATACAGTCATAGCCTATAGTCATAACATGGTCATAACTCCCTTGGGACATTATGTAAAGAAAAAAAACTAGGTCTAAAATATAGGTCTTAATTTATTACTATAAAATTAAGATCTAGTAGCTTATCAAAAGTTTTTTTTTATTAAAGTATCATATATTTTCATAAATAAAAATATTTGAGTATGCGAGTTGACTAGTGGGATGTACAGTACATCTGCTGGATCTGTGTCGATGAAAGGAATGCGGGCAAAAAACATTTAAATAAACAGCAATATATTTTATACGTCGATTTGACGAGCGCGTCACCGTAAATCGCTCCGCCCACTCACTTTATTGGCTACTTGCAAATTTGTCGAATTTTTATTGATGGGACGCGTCGTCTAATTTTTTACGAAAAACATCGAGAAAATATCGTTTCCCCTCTCACGGATACCCCGGAGCTACAGAACCGACAGACGTACTGTAGAAGCTAGTCGTATTTTTGACAGTTAAAAACATAATATCTTGATATTATGGCAACATCAGGTAGTAGATTAAATTTACAAAAAAAAAATGAAAAAATTCAGTGGTTCTGAAAAGGTTCTGAAGATATGAGCAAAAACAATATCTTAACTTTCAAAATAAAACAACTCAGTTATTTTATACTTATTTGAAAAATGATAAAGAGAAAATATGTTTTGTTTATCAAGATCTACCAGCCCTGAAAATTTGCACCTATTTAAGACTCACCCTGTATACAGGGTGGCGCCTCTCATACCCCGCGGAAGCTCCAAGGGGAACGGTAGTTTATATCGATATGAAATTTTGGCAGCATATGTAGGTTAACTGAAAGCATTTTATCAAAATATACAGAATTATACAGGGTGTCCCCATTCTATTAATTCTGTCTGATGTAGGATAAGTTTGCATTTACGCCAAATTTCTGAGAAATGTTTTTGTTTTAACTGACACAAAATGATAACTATAGTTGTTAAAGTCGGACTAATTAAACAGCTATGTTGAAGTAACATCAGACATATCACAGCCACCTAGATTTTATTAAAATAATAAAGATTTACTCAGATCAAATCATGAAAATGAAAATATTTAGGAAAATCTTTGTTTGAGGAGTAGGCAACCTTAATAGTATTTTTTAAGAGACATGAATTCTCCATTGAATATCGGAATAATATACTGGGTGTTCCATTTAAAATAAAAGAGTAACATGCTTTTAAAGGTGACCAATATTCAATATTAATTTTGTCTCACCCTGTATAACATTTTGGATCAAGTTTTAATTTGATTTAAAGTACAATAGTTAATTTAACTACATATTAGGCTATACCGGGTAAATGCCAATTTAGGTAGCTTTTACTGTAATTTAAAAATTGTTCTTTATTTTTAGAAAATGTTAAATATGTCAAAAACCATTATAAAACTCACCTTTATTTTTCTCCCAAAATCCGAAAATCAATTAATATATTAATATATAGGGTGTTCCATTACAAAATACACAACTCTAATATGTAACTTTTTTTGGGGACACCTTGTAGAACTCTCTATATTTTTAAAAAGTGCTCTGAATTAACCTACTTATGCTCCCAAAATTTCATTTCAGTATAAACTGACGTTCTCCTTGGAGCCTCCGCGGCGTATGAGAGGCGCCACCCTGTATTAGTTTTAAAAAAAATATAAACATTATAATATCATAGTTAATCATTAATTTTAATTATTAAAAATGTTTAATGAATTATTATAAGAAAAAAATATAATACATTATGTAGGTATAAACTAAATTTATGTGTGTTTACGGTTATTATAAATAGATACTTTATTTTTATTCGTATCCTTTACACTGAATCCAACACATTAAACTAACTTTGCCACTATATACTTATGTTATTATACGCACCAAGCTACTATTTCACACATATTTCAAACGTAACCATTCACTCAATCAAATGAAACTTCAATTGAATCAACTTTTTACCGAAAAAATTAACCGGTTTAGTGGACGTCTTGCTAGAGCCGATCTAAAATTTAAACTAACAGTTAACAGTACATTATTCATATATACTTAATTTAAAAATAAATTTCGCACGATGAGGCCGAGAGGTGTTGTTCAACTTTTAAATACGGTTTTGAAATCAATAAGCAATAATTTATTCCGGGAAAATTATTTCAGAAATTCGGTCGATGATAGTAGGTGATCTCGGAGGTTCTTTTATATTTTTGTTTCGTAATATCTTTGTTATGGTGATATATGAATTAATTCAGAATTCTCTTGTATACCATACGATCGGAAAAAAAAATGGCGTCGGGAGGCACGTATAGCCGCCCATACTAAAATATGTTAATAAAAAGTTGGTAGGCAGTTCTTTTAGTTTCAAAGTAAAGAAATTTTTCCAATTTTTTTCTATCTCAAGAACTGCGACTTTGACTGATTTTGATGTTTTTACAAATTTTGTTGCAAATATTATTCCCAATCTTAAATTGAAAACAGAGTTTCGCTAGCTACTGTAATTTTGGAGTTACGATTTTTAAAAATTTTTAACCTCCTCCCATATTCCCTTATCAATAGCATCTCCGGCAATAGTGCATATGTAGCTACTAGAATAAAAAACTAGAGAATTTTGTTTAAGTGCATACCCGTAAGTATAGAGGGTCGTTCGAACTGTATTCCGGAAACTTCGGCAGCATATTCTGCAGATAAAAAGAAGTAAAAAACTTCTTATAAATGTATGTCCTAAAATGCTTAGTTTCGGAGATACAGGGTGTAGAAGTTTCATTTTTATTTCGATTTTTTCCAAATAATTTCTGAAGTAACGTCAATATTTGGATGAAACCAATGAAAATTGGTGTCTGATAGTTTTTTGACATGAAAAATTTGATTTTGATGTCATTATGACTCCTATTTGTAGGGCGCTACCTACATGTGTTTTAACTGTTTTGAAGAGTAATAACTTTTTGTCCGTACCTGCATAGAACTGCTGAGTAAAAAAATATACATTTTCGTATTTTTTTACGTAAAAAATGTCTCTTGGTAAAAATCGTTACGAGCAACCCTTCTCGAGATATTTAGAATGGAAATAGTCAATACATGTCATTATTGACAAAAATTAAACAGATACCGTATGATCGAAAAAAAAAACGGTGTCCAGTTGGCTGGGAAATGACGATCGATGACATTTCCCATATAAATCTATACTAATATCACACTAATATATAAAATCTTTAAGTGACTGACATACTGATTAATCACGATCCTGCTCAAACCACTCAACGTAAGAAGCTCAATTTTGGCATACAGGTTGATTCTAGGGTGTAGAGGTTCGATAAGAAGGGATTTTTCGAAATTCCAGTTCCAAGAGGGTGAAACCACCCCTCAAATATTACAATATTTTTTATTTAAAAAACGGTCAAGTTTCCGAAAAAACGCTTAAACACGTATATTTTATTTTGTTTTTTACATATTTTAAGATTTTTTAAAAATGTATACAGGGTGTTTCGAAATATCTGGTCATCGTATAATCACGATCCTGCTTAGAGGTTCGATAAGAAGGGATTTTTCGAAACTCGAATTCTAAGGGGGTGAAACTATCCCTCAAATGTTAATGTTTTCAGAAAAACTCTTAAACACGTGCCTATATTTTATTTTGTTGTTTTACATATTTTAAGACTATAAATTTATACAGGGTGTTTCATAAAATATGACCATTGAGTAATCACGATTCTGCTTAAAGTGCTTGACGTTTAAAGCTGATTTTTGGTAAACGGATTGACTGTGGGGTGTTGAGATTCGATACGGAGGGGTTTCTCGAATCTCAAATTCCAAGAGGGTGAAAACGCCCCTCAAATATTACAATATTTGTTATTTAAAAAACGGTTAGTCTTTCGGGAAAACGCTTGGACAAGCATAATTTATTTTGTTTTTTACATATTTTGAAATTTTTTAAAAAATCATACAGGGTGTTCCAAAAAGTTGAGTAATTTCTTAACCACGATTCTGCTTAAATTGCTTGACGTAATAAAACTTATTTTTGGCAAACGGATTTTTCGAAAGTCAAATTCCAACGAGATGAAACTACCCCTCAAATATTACCAAGTTATATAATAATATCGCCATTTTGTTTTTTCTCATGCTGACATGAATGTGAGAAAATTTTATCCAGTTTGTATGTTAATGGAAATTCTTGCTTTGTTTTATCATCACCATTACAAATGATTAATTCGACGCGAACGAAGTCGCTGGTACACACTAGTTTACATATAAATTGACAGCGATCTTCATTTCATAGCCATCTCTGACGCTGTTTTTTCTCGATCATACGGTCTTATTCTGTTGAGTAGATAGTTATTTGACTAAAATGATAAATTTGGGAAATTTTTATTTTTTTAAATTAATCATAAAATTTTCTTCGAAAAAATGATGATTGATGATGATTTGGCACAAAAACATTTCAAATTTATGATTTCCGTCTATTAACTATTTAGTCAACATGCTTAATTTATGTCAATGATGACAGGTATTGATAATTTCGATTTTAAATATCTCGAGAACTATTACTCGTAGCGATTTTTACTAATATATCTTTTTTACGTTAAAAACATCGTAAATGTATATTTTTTTATTTAGTAGTTTTATACAGGTACGGACGAAAAGTTATTACTCCTCAAACCAGTTAAAAATATGTAGGTGGCGCTCTCTACAAGTAGAAGTCATATTGACATCAAAATCGAATTTCTCATATCAAAAAACTCCCAGACATCAAATTTCATCCAAATATTGACGTTACTTCAGGAATTATTTGGAAAAAATCGAAATAAAAATGAAACTACACCCTGTATTTCCGAAACTAAGCATTTTAAGACATACATTTATAAGAACTTTTTACTTATTTTTATCTGCAGAATATGCTGCTGAAGTTTCCGGAATACAGTTTGGACCATCCTGTATACTCGGATGTATTTCAGAAAAATATTTTAACTTCTACAAGGTGGCTCAAAAAAGTGTTAGAGGGTCGAGATTATTTTTTTAAACGGTAGACCCTGTATATTATAGCATGTTTGGCATCCTTTCAGATCAGTTTACATAATCCTAAGATATGAGTAAATATATCTCGATAGTTTCAGAGATATTAATAAATAAATAAAAATATATATTTTCCTGTCTATATCTAAAAAAATATTAAAAATACAAGAACTGTCCTGAAATCAAAACTATATTAGGCATTTATTTTAGATGGATTTTTTTGATGGTCACTCACTTTTTTGAGCCACCCTCTAGAAGTTAAAATATTTTCCTGAAATACACCCTAGTACATACTTTAGATCTGCACTTAAACGAAATTCTGAAGTGTTTTATTCTAAGAGCTACAGATGCCCGACGCACTATTGCCGAACCCTGTATATCCTTCTCCCAAAAAATTCTATTTTTTCCAGAAATTCTAAATTATCATTTAGTTGATTGTTGGAATTGTCAAGGCGAGCTAAGCGTCTACTTTCTTTAAAAGGAATATATACCTTTGCTATTACCAACTATTCCTATCCATTTCTCGTAATGAGAAAATCTTCTAAAAAGCCACTTTTGTAGGACAAGGACGGACTAAACGTTAAAAGAGCAACAAAAGAACGCAATCTCGCTTTTGTTCAAAAAGTAAATGAAAAGAAAAACTCTGTAGACAATATTACCGCTGGACAGACGAATTTGCATAGAGGATTTCTCTTTCAAAGTATTAAGTTTTACTCAAGATGTTTTGTCTTGTCTTTCTTTGTCTAAAAAATCAATGCAGAAGAAGTGATGAAACTAAACTACGTCTGCTGCATTTTTATATAGATTTGAGAAAATGAACTAAATAAGGGATTCATTTTAGCATATTAAGGGATTAAAGAATTATGTACACACTGTTTTACGCAAGTTTTGCCTGCGGGTTTATCAATTATAGCCATTGTATTTAGTGAAGTTGATTGGTAATACCACAGATTAGGTATACTATAAGTATACAGATAAAAATTTTGTCCCTAATTCGCTGTACGAAAATTGTTTTTTACGACGATGGGCAAACGAGTAAAATTTCCTGTGCGCAAAAATAAACACGCGTTTAAACAGCGTAATACTCGTAACTGAGCCGGTCAGGCGCTGTGCACAATTTTAGAGACCATAAGTGGGCGTGCTATGTGCGCAAACTAGTAACCTAACTAGTGCGCGACTTCGAAAATTGGAACCATGAAAAACAATGCTTTTCACTTCCTATAAGTTTATAATCTGTATAATCTGTGGTAATACCTTGTGTTTGTTTCAATTTGAAATGAATAGTTTTTTAGTAGTTCTAGATAGACTATCGTGGCAACTCCAGTCGCTGGCACTCCATTTTGCATTTCCGACACGAAACTGAGATTATATTCCTTTTTATAATGAACTTCCTATAGTTCAGTGCAGCTTTAAAATTATATTATATTTAAAATACATCAAAATTTTAAGGTGCCCGTTTTTCGTGCCTGTGAGTGTATAAATGAGTACTTATTGTTTCAGGTTACCTATACAGGGTATCCCAGAAATAAGTGCAAATATTTTAAATTTTAACTGGTAGTATAGTTCAACCCCAGAAACACGCCTATGAGGTCTTTTTCGCGAAAAAAAATTTTTGAAATTTTTTTTGGATTTTTTTTGTTTTTATTAAAAAAAAAACAATAATATGGCAACATGGGTAGTAGATTAAATTTACAAGAAAGAAAATCCAGAAAAGATCTCAGGTCCTCAAAATTTTAGCAAAAATTTTTTTTTTAAATTTTCAAAGTAAAATAACTAAGTTATTTTGGAGTTATTTGAAAAACGATAAAGAGAAAATATGTTTGTTTTATCGAGATCTACCACCCCTTAAAATACTTGCACTTATTTCTGGGACACCCTGTATATTCCCCCGTCGACAGAAGCATAAAAAAGAATTAAAAAACCTATTTATAGTATGTGGTAAAAAATACTAAAAATATTTTAGATGTGTTTGCACATTTAAAGCATTTCTAAACAATTAGTAAAAAAATATTTTAAAAGTCTATTTTTTAATCT